GACACACCAGACAGTGCGACACTCTCCTGTCACGCAGTTAATGTGGTAGGCTTTTCCGGGATTCCAATGACACTGCCATTGACAGATCCAGCATTGACACAGCTGGGAAAACAGACTTTGAAACACCAATATGTGGTGTCCTCACAGGTGCCTGCAAATCTCATGGGCAGGGACCTGCTTGTGAAACTGGGAGCCACAATCATGTGCTCACCAGATGGACTGATTGTTACTCTGCCTGGAGGAAAAGAATTCCCGTGACTGGGATTACCTTCAAAGACTCAATATCTAGTCCAGAACTCTGAACAACCCACTGCCGAAATCTACTGGGGGAGGCTGGTGGAAGAAGGCATTCTGAGACATTATCAGCTGTGGAGACCCTGGATAATGGGCCTGGCCGTCTACTCCCCTCCGCGAGATCCTTTCCACGTTACACTCTTTTATGATAGGGAAGATAACGATATCTATCGGGAACAGTTCCAGTCTGATCTTGAGGGACAGACGTGGAATGTGCGAACACATAACATTTATGTTGGACCAGAAGGTGTGGCCGCGGCTGTGAAATTTACGGATGAACAACTGCCTTGGTACAATGTGGGAGAGGATTCAGCCCCTCACATTACATTGGCGGTCCACGAGGGTCATGGGCCAAGAGATCTGGGACCAATGGTCAAGCGGGCGCTGGACAACGCATGCTGGCAAAGCACCCAAATTCCAAATGTCTGGTATGCACCAAAATGTAAAATATATCGCATAACTTGTTTGTCCAACGATGCAGTGATCTTAGAACATAAAGAAATCTCCAGAGTACATGGCAGGGAAAGAATGGATCATCCTGATGCAGTAGCTGAGCTCTCAAAATTGCCTGATACTTTGTGGTCCGCAGGGCCCACAGATGTAGGTTTAGCTAACTGTTCGCCTGTCCTGTTCCAGCTGAAGTCTGACATACCAATTAACAGACCACAATAGAAGCACAAAACTGAAGCAGAAGAAGGTATAGCTGAAACCATTGAAGGGCTGTGGAAAGCAGGAGTGCTTGAGCCCTCATGGTCATTTTGGAACACACCTATTTTGCCAGTGGAAAACATGGGACAGGGAAGTACCGTATGGCACATGATTTGAGAGCAATAAATGCCATACTGAGGACTGACACTGTGCCTGTACCAAATCCCTACACAGCTCTGACCGAAATTACTGGGGACCAAAAGTGGTTCACATGTATTGACCTAGCGAATGCATTCTTTTGTCTCCCACTGCAAGTTGAAGGAAAAATCAGGGAAGACCTGAAGGCAGAGCCCATATATGGAGCTGAGGATTGGTTCACAGATGGATGCTGCCACAGAGATGAAGAAGGATTGAAAGCGGGCTATGCAGTAGTCTGCAGAGTAGAAACTGAGTTTCAGGTGAAAGAAGCAGGAAAAATTGAGGGACAACAGTCGGCCCAGAGAGCTGAAGTGATAGCCCTAACTCGAGCCCTGAGGTTGGCTAAAAACATGAGAGTGAACATCTACACTGACTCAGCATATGCGTTTGGAGCAGCTCATGTGGAACTGGCTCAGTGGAAGAGAGCCGGGTTCAGAACGGCCACTAATGCACCCATCTGTCACAAAAAGGAAATGGAGGAACTGGAAAAGGCCCTGGAGGACCCAGACGAGGTAAGTATTATAAAATGCAAAGGCCACTCACAAGCAGACAGTATGGTGGCAAGAGGAAATCAGAAAGCTGATGAAGCCGCAAAGGAAGCAGCGGGCTACAAAGGACAGAGACAACTGGTGCAGGTAACCCCAGAAGAGGAGGTTAGCACTAACAGCATGGAAGAAGTTAGACAGGCTCAGGAGGAGACATCCCCAGAGGAAAAGGGGGTGTGGGAAAACAAAGGAGCCTGGCAAGATGGCGGTTTGTGGAGGGGGCCAGATGGGCGTCCCGCTTTAACGGCCAAAATGGCGGAACAAAAGGTGAATGAGGCTCACGGGCTTGGTCACGTGGGAGTGAAACAGATGGAGAGAAATTTGTGCCAATGGTGGCATCCTGATTTGAGAAGGATGATACTGGAAAAGGCCAGAACGTGCCTAATTTGTGGGGCACACAACCCAAAGCCAGCAGTAAAACCTGAAGCTGGTAAGTTTCTCATGCCAGAAAGGCCAGGAGAAGAGGTCGTGATTGATTATACCGACATGATTGATACAGGCCCAGGTGGGGTGAGGTATTTGTTGGTGTGTGTGGATGTTCTGACTGGATGGCCCGAAGCATGGGCGACCAAACGTGAAGACGCGAAAAGTGTGATTAAGTGCTTAATCAATCATTACATTCCAAGGCATGGGTTTCCCAAGAGAATTAGATCAGACAATGGTACTCACTTCAAGAATAAAGATTTGCAAGAGGTAGAGAGGATGTTGGGAGTGCAACATAAGTTCGGGACGGTCTATCATCCTCAATCTCAAGGAAAGGTAGAGAGGATGAACCTAAATTTGAAAAACAAGTTGGCTAAAATCTGTGCGCAGACAGGGCTAAATTGGGTCGCAGCCCTGCCCATTGCTTTGATGACCATAAGATGTTCTGTTAACCAATCCACAGGTTTCACCCCTTATGAGCTGCTGACTGGGAGACAGTTTCCAGCACCCTAGACAGTGGTCCCGGTGGAGCAGCCCAGGACAAGCAACAGGTCTCATGTAGAATGTTTTAATGAGTTGAAGGCTCTTGTGTCCAGCTTTACAAAACAGGTCACTTGTGAGAGATCCACGGGGAACGGAGAGGTCCCGGACGCAAAGGCAGTGTGGCTGAAGGTCATTAAGCGAAAGTGGAAGGAGCCCCGCTGGACTGGTCCGTATGAGGTGACCGCCCGGACGGCTACAGCAGTCCAGCTGAAAGGGAAAGGCGACACCTGGTACCACTGGTCGCAGTGTGCACCCGCACACGAGAGCTTGGTGGAGGAAAATTCGTCTTCAAAGAACGCAGGTGTCAAGGAACAGAGGCAGAATAAACCTCTTCACCTGTGTAACGGGCCGACCAGTAGTCCACCTGGAAGGCCGAAGAAAGAAGAGCAGCCTAGGAGGAGATCGCCGCGCCTACAGAAAGGAGTGGTTGGTAGAGAAAGTGATTGTAAAGGCAGTGGACCCTGGGGCGGTGGCCCCTATGTCCATGATGCCGATGATGGATCTGGAAGTAGTCGAGTGGACTGAGGAGTGAACAACAACCTGTGTATCGACCTCTGGTGTGCCAGAGGTCGAAAGGGGGATTGTGGGGATGAACAGAAGAGTATTTGACCAGCATAATATAATCTGCAGTATGATCATTGCTTTAACAATGTAACAGATAGCTTTAAGATGGCCTTAAGATGTTTATGATGATGTTAACTTTGTATTTCAGGTGCAGTTATAACTATTTTATACATATTGCATATCTGTGCTTATTTGAGTTGATGTTCAGGTTCTTTAAAGGTCGTAAGCCTCACTGACGTGACTGTTCAGGTGATACATGCTGAGGGAAAACTAGAACATAGAAGGAATTGCAATACATGCTTACAAAACACTTATATCAGTTTATTTTATTATCTTTTATATGTTCATATTCTTGTATTAAGCTTTTAGTAGGGGTTCTTGATTAAAACATTTATTTAGTAGAAGACATACACATAGTCTCAGTGAGCCTCTGGTCTGGTAAAAGGTCAGAAGTGCGAGAGGTGACATCGAGGCTGAGTGAGGTCGTGACACACACACTTTAAATTAGATTTATTTAGAGGATGTTTGGCTGTAACTGCAAAATTGTCTTGGTAAAAGAGGAACCGTTTCTTGGTGTCTCGGCAAGAAAGAGGAATAGGATAAGAACTGAAAGGTACACAGGAAGTGCCAGCCATGAAAATAGACGATGATGTGGGGAGCCACAGCCCTGTCCTTTATGGTATCAAGCAGGTATGGAGGAGATCAAAACTCCAGACATCCAGAGGCCCCCAGAACACAAGAGACCAAGGAAGACCCACAGAGGGGCAGCCGCGCCACTGTCCCAGAAAGAGCCGAGGAGAGTCCCAGATGAGGGCTCACTCAGCAAAACTTACAAAACTGATGAAATGGAGAAAAGCAAAATAATACTCATTAAACTATATGTGTGTTCTGTTCACATTATCGACACATTCTCAGCCTGGCTGGGGGGCTTCTTTGCCCAGCCTGGAGGCTCCCGGTGCAGACGGCTCCCTGTGATAGTGTTTCCTCACCTGGCTCATGTAAAGATTGATTGATTGATTGATTGATTGATTGATTGATTGATTGTTTACTACAGTGCCGTGATCTTCCTCGTGCTGTGTGTGTTTTGTTAGATTCTTCCCAGTTTAGGTTTTGTGGAGTTTTCTGTTCAGCAATAAAAGCTGCCATTTTGAGTTCAGTCCTGTTTCCAGTGAGTTTGAGTTTGGGTCCAATTCCTGCCTGGACACAGCCCGATCACGACAGTTGTGAGCTGTGAGTTGTGGATCAATGAAGTAACAAATCCCTTTATTAGTGTAGAAACAACAGCTGTGTGTATGTGTGTATGAAACAATGAGAAAGGCTAATTTGATTGGGGAAAAGCATCACTGATGTGAGAACTGCACCAAAGCGACTGAGAGAAACTGTAATATATGTTGGAGGTGGATGGTACTGGAGGAAATCATGTTGTATCATGATGTCTGAACCATATTTAATTTTGGATCACAGCCATCTGAATGGTGTCCTACAGCAAAATTTTAAAATTGACATTGAACTTATTTTAAATATAATCAGTTAGTAGTTCTTCAAACCCATCAGGATCTGCGTGGCGTACAGAATGTTGTAAAAACATAGTGAAGTCCAGACCTTTACTTTTTCACATTGTGCCTCTAAACTTGGTCAGATGATTTCCATAGAGAGGCACTTTGCATCAGCAGCACCATGCTCCAGTGCTCTGGGAGAGTTTATAGTCCTGAGAGTTGAACACTGGATGACTGACAGCTGTCCTTCATCACAACAGAAGCCACAGAAATCCTCCTCATCAAAAACATGACTTTGATCTGCGTCCTCATCTGGACTCTCCTCTGCTGCTGCTTCACAGGTAAAGTCCAGAGAATCAAACTCCTCTCCTCTATCAACATCTGTCCCTCTGAAATGAAGCCCACAAAACCATGAAGCTGCTTTATGTCTTTGTCTCTGTGTCCTCAGAGTCCAGAGGACAGATCACAGTGACTCAGCCTGGAGCAGTGAGCTCTGCTGTGGGAGGAACTGTGACCATCAAGTGTACGACCAGTCAGAATGTTTATAACACCAACTATTTAGCCTGGTACCAACAGAAAGATGGAGGAGTTCCTAAACTGCTCATTTACTATGCTAGCAATCGACAATCAGGGATTCCAGCTCGTTTTACAGGCAGTGGATCAAACTCTGACTTCACTCTGACCATCAGTGGAGTCCAGGCTGAAAATGCAGCAGTTTATTACTGTCAGGGGGAATTCAAAGTTAACGGTCTGTGGGTGTTCACACAGTGAAAAACAGTCGTACAAAAACCTCCCTCAGTCAGACTGAACAGAAACTGAAGTGACTGCTGCAGCTGGAAGATACTGCAGAGACTGATACAGTTCACTGAGGACACACACACACACACACACACACACACACACACACACACACACACACACACACACACACACACACACACACAGCTTTTCAGGCAACTTTCACAAAATGCAATGATATCCAAATCTCATAATCATATCAATTTAAACCAGGACTTTTTGTTTTCTAATAAATAAATATTAGTGTTTTTATTTTTTTATTTTTGATGAAGTCAAAAATATTTAAAGTCTTGTAAAAACAATGAGTCTCCAATCAAATAGCAATAATGCTAATACTGATATCAAAAATATTCATTAAAGTCAGAAAATAGTTTGTATTCAGTCTGAAAATGTACAAATTGCAACATTACTTCATTGTTTACTTTGATGCTGTTTATTAGTTGTATCTCAATACTGGTACGACCTTTTTGACAACACAAAATATTTGCTTCATTCATTAAAATGTTGAAATAATCAGTTTTAATAAGCTGTGAAAAATCAAGGGAGAAAATTAATGATTAATAAATATAATATTTTTATTTACAAACATTATCATTGTTATCAAGATAATACATAGGAATACAAGTTATTTACAAACAAACACGATTTACTGTGTTAACACAGTAAATCTAATTAGCCTGTTGATTTATCCAATATATGTCTTTTTTTCTTTTTTTTTAACTGGTTTATTTATTTCAATTAATCAGTATGTTTGTAACCAGATCAAAACTGTTATTTAATAAAATGTGTTAAATGGTTTTTTTTATTTTGAAATATATGTTAATGTATTTATATACATATATAACAAACAGTAGAAATAACAGGACATGTTCTGTTGAAAAATCTTTACTGTTGTAAAATCTTGAGACAAGTTCATAAAACAGGCAACAAAGAGATGAAGAATAAAGAGACTGAGATTGAAAAAGACTGCAGACTGAGAGCTGTAGCAAAGTTTAAACAACAACAAAACAACGTCATGTCCCCAGTGAATCAGCTCATGACTGTCTGCTGCACCCCGGGGCTCCTGCTCACTTCACAATCAATGCTGCTGCATCTGCGGCCGTCAACGATCCAGGACAGACTCCAGTCTGAGGGGAAGCCCTTGTTGGCCAAAACCCGTTTACAAACACAACTCACTAAAACAATTTTCTGCATAAACAGAGATATTTACGAAACAATTAACCTTAATCTGAAACCAAGGAAGATGATGCAGAAGAATTTTTATTCATGTAAAATTTAGTTTTTCCACAACTTACTGTGAAGATCATATAAAGAAAAATCATTGAAGGAACTGGTTTATCAACAGCAAGTAGGTAAAAAGTTCAAACACAAATTTAGACGTAAATTTCTGTCAGCCTCCCTGTGATATCAGGAAAAACAACAAAATAAAGTTTTGATGCTTTTTTATCTCACCCAACAGCCAACAACTGAAGCAAATATAACATATTATTTTTATCATTTTAAAGGGTAAAAACTTACTTCCAACATTCAATGTGTTCCCTGTGTAATTCTTGCAGCTGATATGAAGGATTCTTTAGTGAAATTACACAACCTTTATTGTAATTTTTCTATATTGCTTACTCATTTCAAAGCTATCTATATAACATGTTACACGTGGAGTATTGTGACAAACTAGCTGATCCATCATTCAACAACACGACAAAAGTAAGTGAAATTTTATTTATGTTGCACCTTTCAAGACAAGCTGGTGCTTGCTCATAATGCTTACAAAAGTGTGCAATGAATTACAATGAAGAAATAAATGAATAGAAATGAATAACAAGACAGAAAACTGGAGGTTTGCATTAGAATCCTAAATGTATGCAGAGTCGAGAGTTACCCCAAGAGTCCAGACAGAGGATTTAATTGTGAAAACCATTCTTTAAGATAAATATATTAAAAAACATGCGAGCTGATTGAAGCAAGTCCCTGTTAGAGTCAGATGATTTCCATAGAGGCACTTTGCATCAGCAGCACCATGCTCCAGTGCTCTGGGAGAGTTTATAGTCCTGAGAGTTGAACACTGGATGACTGACAGCTGTCCTTCATCACAACAGAAGCCACAGAAATCCTCCTCATCAAAAACATGACTTTGATCTGCGTCCTCATCTGGACTCTCCTCTGCTGCTGCTTCACAGGTAAAGTCCAGAGAATCAAACTCCTCTCCTCTATCAACATCTGTCCCTCTGAAATGAAGCCCACAAAACCATGAAGCTGCTTTATGTTTTTGTCTCTGTATCCTCAGAGTCCAGAGGACAGATCACAGTGACTCAGCCTGGAGCAGTGAGCTCTGCTGTGGGAGGATCTGTGAGCATCAAGTGTACGACCAGTCAGGATGTTTATAGCAACTATTATTTAGCCTGGTACCAACAGAAAGATGGAGGAGTTCCTAAACGTCTCATTTACTACACTAGCAATCGAGTATCAGGGATTCCAGATCGTTTTACAGGCAGTGGATCAAACTCTGACTTCACTCTGACCATCAGTGGAGTCCAGGCTGAAGATGCAGCAGTTTATTACTGTCAGAGTTATCACAGCATCAACAGTCAGTATGTGTTCACACAGTGAAAAACAGTCGTACAAAAACCTCCCTCAGTCAGACTGAACAGAAACTGAAGTGACTGCTGCAGCTGGAAGATACTGCAGAGACTGATACAGTTCACTGAGGACACACACACACACACACACACACACACACACACACACACACACACACACACACACACACACACACAGCATTAACATTGAGTGTATTGCTGTAAATTAAAAGACCACCAAATACTTTGAACACACAGAAAACATCAGTAGATAAATTAAGTATTTATTAATTAGCTGCTGTAGAAATTTAAATAGTAAACTTTTGAATCCAGCATTCGTTTCCTCTTTCCCATCATTGCTTAGACTCCACTTTGTTAATTGCTTTATCAGAGCATAACTTTGAAATCTTTAAATGATTTTATTAGTTTGAATCTTAAGTCTTAAATTTTAAAGCAACATGAATAAATAAGGAGCTACAGAAAAACCACATTACTGCTCACAGACGTTCCTACATGATAGAGAACAAATAAGTTTAGAGTTCAGAGTTATCTCAGCACAGATGTGTTTACACATTTTAATATTATTTTACCTCAGACTGAATAAGAGCTGAACTGACTGCTGCAGAGACTGATGGATTTCCTCCAGATTTACCTTAAACACCATCATAACCACTCATAACAACACTATTAATAGAAGCAGTAATAAACATGCATTTCACTCTTTATACAATGTAATCAGAGTATACAATGAATGCATTGTAACTGTATTTGGTATCAATAAACACAGATTTGTGTGTGATTGTGATTCATGACTTCAACTTGGAAGCTGATCTTCTCTGAGCTGAAGACTCTGCCTCTCATTCCACTTTTCAAAGTCGTGCCAGGTGGTCCTTGGGCACTGTTCTCGGCTCGTGCTAGGACATCGACTGATGCCTGATGCCTCTGGTTCTCTGAGACTCTCACCCTCTGGGTGCCCCATCTGGAGCCTTCCTCCTTCTCCTGCTGTGGCCTCCTGGATCTCCTGGATCTCCTGGATCTATCGCTGTCTGCCTCTGACACCCAGGAGGGCATTATTGCACCTCCCTGCCCTCATTATTGTCTACCTTTTGTGACAATGACACACACCACAAAAAGATTGTTAATTTATGTATCTGTGCATTTTCATATCTTTGTGTTCCAGGTGCTGTATGTTTTTGTTCCCTTTGTTTTTTCTTACAGGTGCAGCAGTTGGTGACACATTGTTGGACAACACGACAACAGGCAGAGGAAACAAGAGGAACCATAGAGAACTTATAGAGCTGATCTTGCAACATGTTTTTGGCACCACAGTGCATTCAGATCATAATTCAGATTGCATAAACTGCCAGACATGACAGGATTAAACAACATATATTAATAACATGTTTCTGTACAGGAGTATTTGAGTAAAGTAGCTCAGAGGTAAGGCAGGACAAAAACATTTAAAAATTTAAAAAGAAACACAAAAACATCAAATTACCAGGACAATGTCTCTGTTTCCCATTTTAATATCATGATTCAAACAGGAATTAAATGCAATTTGTAAACATTTAGATATAAAATTAACTAAACTGAAGCAAAGTGGTAAAAAGTAAAATATTTATAGCTTTCAGGCTCTCGGACGCTAAAAGTTTAAATACACTGATATCCTGGAAAGATGAAATGGATATGGATATCGTGAATAATTAAATTAAGTGCTCACTCAGGTTAAAACACCATCACATGAGACACATCACACTTCTACATCTGGCTGGCTCTGTGTATACTAATGTTTGTTATTCAATGTCCTGTCATGTTTGCTGTATGGCAGGCAGCATGAAGGTTCCTGGATTCAGGATTCTTACACGGAAACAAATTTAAAGAGGCAGCTTTATTTGTTGGGAAATAATGCACAAAATAAACATTTACGAAAAACAAACCAAAACTTGAACATGGAAAATAAGAACTAGACTCTGGGGGACTAGAGACAGAAACACTAGGAAATAAGGAGCATGGAACTAGGAATGATGGACAGAAACATGGAGAAACTTACAGCACATGGGACAACACGACAACAGGCAGAGGAAACACACAAGGGAATGACACACAGGAGGAGAGCACAGATGGAAATAATCACACATAAGGAGACCAAGGGGAAGCAAAACTGAACACAGGACAAGGACTATCAGAAGAAAACAGGAAGCATGACGAATATGTAGATGCAGAAAAGACACTGTGACTGGGGGAACAAAAACAGAGACAGACACTAGACACTGAGACATGGAGACATGACTGCCTGTGCAACAGAGGGAACAATAAACATGGAGACAAGAGCTTATACACAGGCTTGAGATGGACACTGAGGGAGGGAGAACTAGGATCACTAAGAACTTAAGAAAAAAAGATAACCAAAACCATGAATAAAAGTAATCAAAGAATATAAATTAACAACACAGACAAAACACTGGGTCACAGATCCAGCACTGTGACATGTCCGCTTCTAAACAGGACTTTTTTTTACATACTTAGCATGCTAAAACAAAAGCAGAAGGACAAAGTATTGTTTAAAATACTCATTTAAAATTGATTTATTTCCAGACATCCAGTCTGGATCCTGAAAGAAAAGAGTTTGTATCATCATGATTGAGCTAAAACCTCTGAGTGTAAAGAAACACAGCTTTCTTCTTAATCGTACAGTTTGGTTGTCTGAAATCAAAAATGAAAAAACTGTAATAAATAAATGCAAAATAAGAAGGCATTTTACTATTTTGGTATTATATCCACATTATCACATGCTGATGATCTGACAATAATAATGAAACTATACATGCATCCCATCCTATTCCAGCTGTCTTAAGGTCAGAGGCAGGGTACACCCTGGACAAGTCAAATAGTGAAACTAATAAAGACTTTAACAAAAAGAATGAATAATTCCAATAATGTCACGATCTGCAGCAGCAGATTGTGTGGAGCGGAGAGTGAGAGGACCCAAAATCAGACACGTGGAAACAGGATGGAATTTACCAGAAAGCGAGGCGTTCATTGAGACTGCATGAAAAATACAAAGCAAAGGAAAAACAGGACTAAGACACAAATACCTAAACTGGGCAAAAACCAACACTGTGAATGTCGTGCATGAAGCATGAAACATGAAAGCTGTAACTTCAATAACTCTGATATTCTTTATTATTAACTGGGAGAAAAAGTGCCGACTCAGTCTTTTGTTCCAGGACAGACTGTCTCTGTCAGATGTAAAACCAGCAAGCGTCCCCCTGACAGACCGTGGACTTTTTCTTGTGTTAAGAGGTTTAGTGAAGTGAGTTTCTCTCATTTTGCTGTGAACACTAGAAGAGATTAACTTCTATATAAGTTGATTAAAGCAGACCTGTAGTCTCTCATCTGCCTGCATTCCTGTGTTTGTTCTGTTAGTCTGTTCTTAACATCATGTCCACTGTCGAGCTCAATTCTGTCGTCATTATTTGAGTCCAGTTATTGTCTCGCTGCCTTCTGTGAGTTACTCAGCTTCTGTTTTGTGTGCTTTAACTCTCAGACTCCTGATCTCCACCTCATCCTGACAATTAGAGATCCTCAGCTAAGTCTCCACCTGCTTCACCTCTGCCACCACCAGCTTCTAGACTCTTCTCTGCTTTGGTGCTTCATCAGAGTTTCACTGTCAAATAGTTCATTAATCAAACTTCAGTAAATCTTCACTTCAACTTTATTTAGATAAACTCTGTTTAAACATACAGATGACACCCTGCTCTTTAATGTCAATTATAATAATTTTTCAACATTTTCAGATTAAAATGTAGATCATGAAGCAGCTTTGAGACTAGAAATTATGAAGAGCACACAGATAATCTATGGTTGACATGACCTCAACAGCTTATAGAGAAATATTTAATATGTGGATTAAAAAATATATTTAACCATTTTCACTGCACATTACACTTGATGTGTTCTGTTGACGTTTTTTCTTTTGGTCTGGTTTAATAAATGTTACAAAATCTTAATTTTTTAATGTGCATTTATTAAACTCACAGAGTCAAAGAACATGTTTCCTCGTTACATTTTTATTCTTTTAAGAGTTTGAAATATCAGCTTTACAACAGACACCAAAGGATGAAACTAGAGGAGATTGTTGCTCTGATTGTTGTCATTATGAGATGGAAATATGACTGTTTGATGAGTTTATTTTTTAAATCTGCAAACACAAAGGAACAAAGAGACAGAAGAAAATCAACATCAAAGACTCAGTGATTGACATCAGGACTGGGAACACTGGTCTCTCCTCAGTATCTCTGAGACCGGAGTGTGGGAGCCCTGGGTGGCCTCACAGGTCACAGAGCCCACCTTCCCCCACTGGTCTGCAGTGAGCGTCAGGGTGCTGCTCCAGCTGTAGAGGCCGTCATTCTGCAGCACTCCAGGAGTCCTGCTCTCCTCCCCTCTGATGCTGCTGCTGCCACTGCTGTCGCTCGTCTTCCAGGACAGACTCCAGTCTGAGGGGAAGCCCTTGTTGGCCACACACATGAGCGTGGCCTTCCCCTGCTCCAGCTCTGCACTGGAGGGACCCAGCACCTTCAGGGCGGGGCGGGTATCACCTAGGAAACACCAATCAGCTTAGAGGACAGGAACCACAATTTGAATTTCTCCGTTAAGAAGTTTCTGTCAGGTGTTTTTTCTGCTCCACCAGTCATTCACTCACACATTGTTTCACTTCCCTTTAAGAAACCTCTCATGCATATCAGCACAGAGAGAATCATCACACAGTTTGACCTGAAATATGTTCAAACTACACTGGAAATAAAAGAAGCAGATGTGGAAACATTTACAGCAGAAGTTTGGCTTTAAAATGATTAGAAGTCTAAATCATGGACGACTGAAGAAATGAGTGGACACAAGCACAGAGCAGCTACTCATTCATATAGATTCAAATGTTATTGAACAGCTCACATGATTTCAAACTAAATCTGAAACATCTGACACGATAAAAACATCAGAAAGCAAACTTTAACTCATTTACAAATTTACAAACTAATCATAAGATGATGAAGTTTACTCTTGTCTACATTTTACTGTGACAGAAATGTAGATTAAACAAGAGAAACTCGCAGAGCTCATCTGAATTAGTCCAGTAAAAAGGACAAACATCAAAAACTCAATTATTTTAAATTAAAAAAAATACTTTTGTCTCATCTAAACAGTCTAACAAATAATTATTAAATAAAATGATACAATATTTAATAATAAACACAGTTTAATTAACTTACTTCCAACATCCAGTCTGGTTCCTCCACCAAAAGTCCACCACAGTGATACAAACTCATTGAGGCGCCGTACAAAAACCTCTGACTGTAGAGAGACACAGCTCTCTGACTCTGTCAGACTGAACTAAACCTACAAGCCTCATACAACTTTATCATCAGAACTACAAATAATAATGAATAATATGAAACATCCCAGATTTTCATTGGAAATTGTCCTGAGTGTCTGAATATTCATTTCCAAAGCTGACTTTGTTTCTTAGGACAAAATTTATGAATAAAATAATTAATCAGTTACACAAAAAGTTTCCTAGCCTTTCATATTAAATGAAATTAAAGAAAAGAAAATTAAATTAAAGAGAAAAAGGGCATAGAAGTAACTTTGTTTTTGTCTTACTTCCAACATCCAGTCTGGTTCCTCCACCGAACGTGTACCACAGTGATACAAACTCATTGAGGCGCCATACAAAAACCTCTGACTGTAGAGAGACACGGCTCTCTGACTCTGAGACAAACAAACTCAACAAAATCATTCACTGTTTGTATCATTTAATAATATTATAATAGTGTAATTAAAACAAATAAAGCCCATTACAACAATATTTAAAGAATCTGATTTCAAAATGTAGATTTTACAGCTTTCACATGTGAAAACATCTCTTGAAACCTGGCACTTATTTTTTCACAACTCTAAACACTGAAACTAATTCTCAGCCTAAAACGCTTCAAAAACACTTCAGATTCATGTAGTTATGTTTTGAATTTCACAAAAATATTAAGTTCTGGAAAGTGTACCAGCATTTTTTCCATATATTTTTTTAATTTCTGAATGAACATGTCCATTGTTAAGACGCTGCCTACACATACAGGGTTTTTTTTTAATGAGTTTTTATTTCTATTTTGGAATTCTGTCTACAAATAATGGTGTTTTAGGAAGTTTTGAAAATTCCTTCCAGGTAGAGAAGACGGTGCTCTGTGCTGTTTTCACTGTGAAGGCTTCTAACTGGTAAACATTACCATTCAATTCGGGTTTTATCACCATGTGTTGCTTTGGTTCACTTTTGACATGTTTCACACACACACACACGTTTTCAAACGACTTCACTGACATTTATTCGTGAACACTTAAATGAACTCCAGTAAATGTTTCCCATCACTGCTTTTCTCAGTTGCTTTGGTGAAAGTCTTACATCAGGAACGTCATTCTCACCACTCTTAATGCAGCTCTCCAAATATGTAAGGCCTTTTTCACCACACAGACTCATCTATGCAAAAGACACTTCATAAAACACTTTCACCGTCGTTTTAAGACATCAAAACAGTTTTTTTTTGTTTTGTTATTTTTCTCAAAACCTCACCTACTTTGGAAAGAGTACTGCAAAAAATGTAGGCCTAATGTCACAAGGGGCCAAAGGCCTGTACGAAACTGGACTCAAGTGCTGGACCACATGTGGAGACGGTTGAGTTTGCTTCACACAAATCTTTATTTGGCACAAAAACACAGAGTTATACTTGACGTGGGATTCCTGACAAGAAAACGTAGCATGGTGGCCTAAGGTGGCGTGGTGATCAAGAGGGAGAGAGGAAAAGGGGGTTAGTGGGTTCTCAGACTTCTCCAGGTGTGGTTGAATTTTAAAGAGGAGTATGGCTTATGTTGCAGGTGGAGTTGGTGGTACTTTGAGGGGAGTAGGTGAAGGTCCAGGTGAGCTGAACAAAGTTAAGATGGGCTGACCTGAGCTCCAAGTGATCCTGTGTGAAGCAGTGGGAAGAGGGCAGCAGGTGTGATATTGAAATCCTGGCCGAGTGCATAGACTTGGGCAAGGAGCATGAAGCATGGTAGCCTGTTACCACCGAGGGTAAGTTGACAAACTAGCAGTGAAGAGACGGCAACGCTGGTCTTGAATATCCTGAGTAGGTTGATCCAGGTTGGCTCCATGTGAGGAGATGACGGCTCCAGGGGCAGACACAGGAGAACATGGTGGAAATTTACCAGCAGCTCACCCGGACTGTGACAGCTAATGAGAAGTTTAAAACTGTTTTCAGAAACAAAAATCTAATCTGATATATATATATATATATATATATATATATATATATATATATATATATATATATATATATATATATATATATATATTATTTTTATTTATTTATTTATTTATTTATTTTTTTTTTTTAATTTACAAAACTGATGAAATGGAGAAAAGCAAAATAATACTCATTAAACTATATGTGTGTTCTGCTCACATCATCGACACATTCTCAGCCTGGCTGGGGGGCTTCTTTGCCCAGCCTGGAGGCTCCCGGTGCAGACGGCTCCCTGTGATAGTGTTTCCTCACCTGGCTCATGTAAAGATTGATTGATTGATTGATTGATTGATTGATTGATTGATTGATTGATTGATTGATTGATTGTTTACTACAGTGCCGTGATCTTCCTCGTGCTGTGTGTGTTTTGTTAGATTCTTCCCAGTTTAGGTTTTGTGGAGTTTTCTGTTCAGCAATAAAAGCTGCCATTTTGAGTTCAGTCCTGTTTCCAGTGAGCTTGAGTTTGGGTCCAATTCCTGCCTGGACACAGCCCGATCACGACAGTTGTGAGCTGTGAGTTGTGGATCAATGAAGTAACAAATCCCTTTATTAGTGTAGAAACAACAGCAGTGTGTATGTGTGTATGAAACAACGAGAAAGGCTAATTTAATTGGGGAAAAGCATCACTGATGTGAGAACTGCACCAAAGCGACTGAGAGAAACTGTAATATATGTTGGAGGTGGATGGTACTGGAGGAAATCATGTTGTATCATGATGTTTGAACCATATTTAATTTTGGATCACAGCCATCTGAATGGTGTCCTACAGCAAAATTTTAAAATTGACATTGAACTTATTTCAAATATAATCAGTTAGTAGTTCTTCAAACCCATCAGGATCTGCGTGGCGTACAGAATGTTGTAAAAACATGTAGTGAAGTCCAGACCTTTACTTTTTCACATTGTGCCTCTAAACTTGGTCAGATGATTTCCATAGAGAGGCACTTTGCATCAGCAGCACCATGCTCCAGTGCTCTGGGAGAGTTTATAGTCCTGAGAGTTGAACACTGGATGACTGACAGCTGTCCTTCATCACAACAGAAGCCACAGAAATCCTCCTCATCAAAAACATGACTTTGATCTGCGTCCTCATCTGGACTCTCCTCTGCTGCTGCTTCACAGGTAAAGTCCAGAGAATCAAACTCCTCTCCTCTATCAACATCTGTCCCTCTGAAATGAAGCCCACAAAACCATGAAGCTGCTTTATGTTTTTGTCTCTGTGTCCTCAGAGTCCAGAGGACAGATCACAGTGACTCAGCCTGGAGCAGTGAGCTCTGCTGTGGGAGCAACTGTGAGCATCAACTGCAAAACGAGTCAAAGGGTAGATGATGGAGAAGATCAATTCTGGTACCAACACAGAGATGGAGAACATCCTAAACTGCTCACTAGCTATGGAAATCGCAAAGTCTCAGGGATTCCAGCTCGTTTCACAAGCAGTGGATCAAACACTGACTTCACTCTGACCATCAGTGGAGTCCAGGCTGAAGATGCAGCAGTTTATTACTGTCTGGGTGAATTCAATGTTAACAGTCAGCTTGTGTTCACACAGTGAAAAACAGTCGTACAAAAACCTCCCTCAGTCAGACTGAACAGAAACTGAAGTGACTGCTGCAGCTGGAAGATACTGCAGAGACTGATACAGTTCACTGAGGACACACACACACACACACACACACACACACCTCGTGAAAGTAGACTCAGCTATACAGACAGAAAAACACTCTCTTAATCAAAATCCAAGGAACAGGCCGATGTGTTGAGTTGGATGATTTAATAAGGAAAAAGTGTGAAACTGTTGACAAAACCAGAAATAAACCAATAAAGATGTTGCATCAATATACAATATAACAAACACACCAGTAAGTCACATATTCAAAAACATGAGCACAATATTTATCTGCTTAGTGAGTGCCCGAATAAAACATCAAATGAAATCACGCTCATGATCAAAATGTAAAAGAAACCACATGGCATATGAGCTAGCTTAACCTTACTAGCTTAGGTTATACATGCATTCAAATTAAATTCAAACTACAAACTATATCACACCTTCACAACAAATAATAATGCACACAAGTCATCTCAGTGATAACAAACAATATTACTTACAGATGATGCCGTTTATCAACTTGTGATGGCATGGATGTCAACAGATTAACAGAGGTGGAACTGCCTCTGGCTAATTAAATCTTACAGAGTAAAAATACACAAAAACAACCACTAGAGGCAAACTGCAGGACAGAAAATACCTACCGCCTGCATGAATCATTTACATTCTTCATTAATAAACTATGATAGAGCACACATACAACTTAGACGCACTTGAAGAACACACAAATAAAAAGACATCACTTTAAATATCTGACTAAAAGTCACCGTCATCCTTTGAGGTCTCAATGTAAAATCAACGAGCTTTGGTCTTAGCAAAAAAATGTAAACGGACTCATAAAAGGTAAAAATGTAGCACAATAGTCACTGCTCTTGCTTGTCATCGTTTCACAACAGTTCCTACTGTACCAGCTTAAGTGCTACTGTACTATCCTATAACAATGACACAATACTTTATAATAACTACACAGTTTTAATCATCATCCCTTTTTAAAATCAGACTTGTTTCTCTCCACTAGATATCATAAATTATTTAATTATTCACTGCTCACTAAGAGTAAATCAGCCTTTTATGTTGAGGACAGCTGCAGCTGACTGACTCTGTGTGTTTGCATATGTGTCCTGCCTCTCTGCTCACAGCTGTTAAGAGGCCAGTGTTGATCAGTGGCTGTCCAGGCCTTTCAGAGCCACTCACACACCAGCAGCACAATGATGATGTCACTGACTCTACTGCTGGCCACCCTGGGGCTCCTTGTTCAGGGTGAGACTCTCTGTGAAAACTTTGCTTCAGCATGCAGCCAGGTTCACCACAATGATGTTCTGCTCTGATGGAGAACCTCTGAAACCAGCAGCACTGACCTTCTTCCATCTGTTCTCCATGTTAGACAAATGATCCTTGAATGTTTGGATGTTCATCATCTCGATAACTTTTCTCCACTTTTTCATGTTTTCAGGTTCATCAGGAGAACAAGTCCTGACTCAGACTCCTACAGCTCAGTCTGTTGTTCCAGGACAGGCTGTCTCTGTCAGATGTAAAGCCAGTTCAAGTGTTGGCTCATGCCTCCACTGGTACCTTCAAAAGGACGGAGAATCTCCCAAACTCTTGATTTATTCTGCTACAAACCGTCAGTCTGGAGTTTCTGATCGTTTCAGTGGAAGTGGATCTGGGGCTGACTTCACTCTGACTATCAGCAGAGTTCAGGCTGAAGATGCAGGAGTTTATTACTGTCAGCAGTGTAACAGCTGGCCGCTCACACAGTGATACAACGCTGTACAAAAACCTCACACAGCTGGAGAGGAACTGAGAAAAAAGATCATCTGAACTGACAGCTGCTCAGAAACACACATTATTTTATCTGTATAAAATAGTTTATATTTTTTTTATAAATACATGTTATAAATGTTAATATCATCATTTTGTGAATGTTTTTATTATTTTTAAGCAAGAAGTTATTTATCCTATAAATAGAATTTTATTGCTACAATTAATTATCTGTAAAACAGAGAATATCGATACGAGCAACGATTGAAAGCAATCAATTAAATATTTTATCTTTGGATTATGAAAGCTCGAATCAACTTTCTCAAACCCAAAAGACCAATGACTAATTCATCCTGCTGTAAGTTCTACAGAAACACAAATATTTATGATTACCATGTAATCGTCTTTTTTATAAATATTTCTTCACGTCATTATGCGGGCCACAAGTAGAGGTGAAATGGTCTGTGAGATTGAGACACAGAAATTACAGCCTCTTGATGTGTGTTTTGTTTGTGTTTCCACCCGCCTGGAATCACCAAAAATAGAGAGGGCACAGCCTAACATATGAAACAGGAAAAGACTGACGTGTAAACCCTTTATTCCAACAAAGTAACTGTATTCTGAATGCCACCTTTTAAACGGTAACTGTAACGGATTACAGTTACTCATATTTTGTATTTTAGATACGTAACGGCGGTACATGTATTCTGTTACTCCCCAACACTGGTCTGCAGGGAGCCTCAGGGTGCTGCTCCAGCTGTAGTGGCCATCATTCTGCAGCGCCCCGGGGCTCCTGCTCTCCTCCCAGCTGATGCTGCTTCTTCCATCTACCTTCCAGGACAGCCTCCAGTCTGAGGGGAAGCCCTTGTTGGCCACACACATGACTGTAGCCTTCCCCTGCTGCAGCTCCTCACTAATGGTGTCTCTGTTATGGGTCAAAAATTTCACATTTCTATCAAGTAAATTATTCCATGCCGTGTTTGAAATTAAACTGAAGAGTTGTAAGTCCATTAGCCCTTGGTGAATAAATAATGACAGAGTCTAATATGACAGTGTCGTTGTTTCTCTCAAGCTTTATTTACCAAATTTTGACTCTTTCAACTCTAACACATCGATCCAAATTCACGCACAGATGTTCAACTGTCTTAAAGTCTGAAGGACTTGAAGGACACTTTATATGATTTATGTCAAAGAACAAGTGGTGTCATGAAACTGCTGAGCAGGCAGGAAAGGACTCAAATGCAGCTACTGCAGAGACTGATACAGTTCACTGAGGACACACACACAAGCATATACATTGAGTATATTGCTACAAATTAAGAGACGACCAAATACAATACATAGCACTTAGAAAACATCACTAGATTAATTGATAATCCTGAACACGTACTTTGTTCACACCTGTTTCTGGACAGGAGTGCTTTAACTCTCAGACTCCTGATCTCCACCTCATCCTGGACAATTATCCTCAACTAAGTCTCCACCTGCTTCATCTCTGCCACCACCAGCTTCTAGACTCTTCTCTGCTCTGTTGCTTCATCAGAGTTTCACTGACATATAGTTCATTAATCAAACTTCAGTAAATCTTCATTTAAATAGACTCTGTTTAAACATACAGATGACAGCCTGCTCTTTAATTTCAATTATTAGGATATTTTTTATCTATATTGTCAGAATAAAATGCAGGTCAAGAAACAGCTTTGAGACTAGAAAATATGAAGAGCACACAGACAATCTATGGTTGGACCTCAACATCTTATAGAAAACACTAAATGTGTGTATAAGAATATATTTAACCATGTTGACTACACATTACACTTGGTGTGTCTGTAGACATTTTTATTTTGGTCTGGTTTAATAAATGTTACAAAATCTCTCTTTTTTAAATGTGCATCTATCAAACTCACAGAGTCAAAGAACATGTTTCCTCGTTGCATTTTTATTGTTTTAAGAGTTTGAAATATCAGCTTTACAACAGGCACAAAAGGATGAAACTAGAGGAGATTGTTGCTCTGATTGTTGTCATTATGAGATGAAAATATGACTATTTAATTAGTTTATTTTTTAAATCTGCAAACACAAAGAAACAAAGAGACAGAAGAAAATCAACATCAAAGACTCAGTGATTGACATCAGGACTGGGAACACTGGTCTCTCCTCAGTATCTCTGAGACCAGAGACTGGGAGCCCTGGGTGGCCTCACAGGTCACAGAGCCCACCTTCCCCCACTGGTCTGCAGTGAGCGTCAGGGTGCTGCTCCAGCTGTAGAGGCCGTCATTCTGCAGCACTCCAGGAGTCCTGCTCTCCTCCCCTCTGATGCTGCCACTGCTGTCGCTCGTCTTCCAGGACAGACTCCAGTCTGAGGGGAAGCCCTTGTTGGCCACACACATGAGCGTGGCCTTCCCCTGCTCCAGCTCTGCACTGGAGGGACCCAGCACCTTCAGGGCGGGGCGGGTATCACCTAGGAAACACCAATCAGCTTAGAGGACAGGGACCACAATTTGAATTTCTCCGTTAAGAAGTTTCTGTCAGGTGTTTTTTCTGCTCCACCAGTCATTCACTCACACATTGTTTCACTTCCCTTTCAGAAACCTCTCATGCATATCAGCACAGAGAGAATCATCACACAGTTTGACCTGAAATATGTTCAAACTACACTGGAAATAAAAGAAGCAGATGTGGAAACATTTACAGCAGAAGTTTGGCTTTAAAATGATTAGAAGTCTAAATTATGGACGACTGAAGAAATGAGTGGACACAAGCACAGAGCAGCTACTCATTCATACAGATTTGAAATGTTATTGAACAGCTCACATGATTTCAAACTAAATCTGAAACATCTGACACGATAAAAACATCAGAAAGCAAACTTTGACTCATCCAAACAGCAGCTGATGTGGTGGAAATTTACAAATTAATCATAAGATGATGAAGTTTACTCTTGTCTACATTTTACTGTGACAGAAATGTAGATTAAACAAGAGAAACTCGCAGAGCTCATCTGAATTAGTCCAGTAAAAAGGACAAATATCAAACACTAAATTATTTTAAATAAAAAAAAATACTTTTGTCTCATCTAAGCAGTCTAACAAATAATTATTAAATAAAATGATACAATATTTAATAATAAACACAGTTTAATTAACTTACTTCCAACATCCAGTCTGGTTCCTCCACCGAACGTGTACCACAGTGATACAAACTCATTGAGCCGCCGTACAAAAACCTCTGACTGTAGAGAGACACGGCTCTCTGACTCTGAAACAAACAAACTCACCAATATGAATTCTTTAAATCATAATTTCATGACATATTATTATTATAATTATGAAATAAAAATGAATGAAACACAATAAAACAATTTTCCAAAAATGTAATTTGCATTTATTTTAGAGTTTTTATCCAGTTTTGGTCCTCAGTAACCAAAAGGTTATGGCTGTGATATATTGTGTATTTTAGAGTTAGAAAAATCTAAAATAGTGCTGTCAGCGTTAATCTTGTTAAAATGACGTTAACGCCATAACCACATTAAGATCAAACCTGCACCATTCTTTTGGTCCACTGCAGTGTAGCAGTCAAAAGAAAAGTGAAGTGGCCACAAATGGCCAGGATAGAGCCCAGAGGGTTAATGCATAAAATGTATAAAAATATTATTGATTACAGGGTAATACATTAATGTTAATAGCAACTGTAAGCTTTTTACTTTGAAGTAAGAAGTATAAACGATGCTGTTACTGTCACGGGACCGAGTGGTCTGCACTGAAATGAACTCAGGCGCAGAAACCCAGAGCAGAAACAGCAGATGGTTTAACAATAATTTATTAGGCCTAAGCGCTCCAAATGTAGCAAGGACAAAAAAAACCTAACCCTGCAATTCTGGCTTGGAGGCAGAATAAACAGAGAGAAAAACAGATAAACACCATATACACATTTAAGTTCAGGTTTTAGCAGAAATAACACGTTACAGTTAGCATGTAAGAGATTTGGGAGAAAATTCTTTACAAAAACATAATTTACCAGACACTTTTATTAGTGACATACGTATCTATTGACATATAACAGACAATTTAGCAAAGGCTAACTAACATCTGGGCAATAAAAAACAGAGCAGAATGTAAGTTTGTCTTTGTGACAAACGCTACAATGTTGATGCAGGTGGAATGAGAGACATAAATAAAGTGCAATATGCAGTAAAGGGAACAATGTGCACTGATGTCAGATAGTGAAAAGTAGTGAAGTGAATTTGTTCAATAACAAGCAAAAATCTAATACGTTTGAAACTGACCACTAAAAGCTAACCAGAGGTGTCAAAAGTACACACATTGCAAGTTGAGATACCTCGGGGGTCTGACTGTTGTTGTAACGCTAACAAAGTGCCAACATAATCAGTGTAAGCAAACTAGATGATTCCTGGAATTATATAATTATTAACGGCAAATTTATACATGACAGACTCTGTCCCAACCTTTATGATCCACTTGCAAGGTTTCCACAGACGATGATCCATGCAGGAACGCATTTCGGCCTACTGTAGAGATCACGTGTTTCCGGTTACTGTGGAGGTCACATGCTTCCAGTTACTGTGGAGGTCGCAATATGACGCTCCCCAGTGGCTGCAGCCCTTCTCTGTGCATGGGGCTGCACGCCACTAACATGTTAACGATCTAACTGCGCTAATGCGTTGACGCCGTGCAGCCAACGCACGGGGCGATCTGCGTTAACTCGCTAAGAGAGATTTGTGGTGTTAATGCAGTTGTGGCTTCAACGTCATTTAAACAAAAATAACGCTAACAGCACTAATCTAAACATTAAAATGTACTTTCAACCTACATTCACTAAACTTCAAACTGCATCAAAAAACTATTTTGTGTGTACTCCCAAACACAGGTTACAAACGATAAGGAGCAGTTATTACACACTACATCACAAAACCTGTTCAGGGCATGAAACTCAAGTCTGTCCAGTGTCACAGGTTGTCCTGTTATTCTACAAAACATATACAAATGTGAAGTTAAAACAGAGATGAATGATTCTGAGCTGTGGTCAGGTTTAACTTTTGCATCCTG